CTCGTCGGTTCGCGTAAAGGAGGCACGGCAGTGTCGCTTCGCGCAGCTTAGCGCCGAGACACTACCAGTGTCTCCAGATTCTTCGACTGGTACCTGGCCTATATGAAATTATAATAAGCAAAAATTTTAACATACAAATAAACATATTTCCTGAAAAAAAAAAAATTATGAAATATAATTATGAAATAAATAAAATATTAGTGCAAATTGTTCATAACTTTTACTCATACATTTTTATTGTATTTCTTATATTTACCGTCAAAGATTTCAAAAATCTCTTGCCACATTTTATTAACGATCACTCGACTCCTGCTTTGAATTGATGATTTAATATTGTATAACGCAGGACGTTTCTGAACTTCGCCAATAAGTACTTCAATAAAGTCTTGATCATTTCCACTGGTATCAATATAACTTACATTCTCATCTTGTTTAGATACTTCATTCATAGATTCTTCTTCACTTTCCATATTTTTTTTAGAATCACAGATCTCTTCTATTATCAGTACATGTATGTAATATATCCACGCAATTTCATGAAAATTAATTTTAATCGAATACTCATTCAAAAAATAAATATGTATTCATATATTGCAAGAATTAATCCCTTTACCTGGATGTAAATACTTATTATGTAGCACGTCAATGGCCGCGGTCCGATTCACGCTCACAGTTCTATCAGTGCTTACGATATTAATGGTCGGTCCGAAACAAATAGCGTGCTGAAGTTTTTCTATTTTGGACCGATCGTAAGCACAATTTATAAGTTAGAAAACGTAACCTGATGAAAGGCAAATGGAAAGCGTATGTATATATGGTTCGCATAATAGAAGAAATAATATCAAGAATATGAGTAAATATTAAATACTAGAAAAAGAAAAAATTAGGAATAGAGATTAAACGTAACGCACAATAAATACAATTAATAAAATATGGTTCACAAAATATGTATAATATGTCTCATATCCTATTTGTATCTATTAAGCATTTACACATTCATTTCCTTTAATTTTTTATTTCTAATATTTAATATTTATTCCTATATTTGGGAAGTTCTTAATCTTTTCTATTATATGCAGGACTTATATTATAACCTAAAAAGATAGATATCTCACCCGACGACCCTAACGCAGCCGTCTTGTCGTGTTCAGCTTACCCTTTCTTTCAGAAATGTTCGAAACCGTCATTTTTCCCGCATTTCTGACGTCACGTAATCATGACGCTCACGGTGCCTCACCTTTCATCTAGAGGCACTCTAAACACTGTGAGTGCTATGTAACTATGACGTCGCTGTGTTCACACTGGCGCTGCAAGCACGAAATGGACCAACCATAAGCAACCGTGAGCCCACTAATCACGCTATAAGCGTGAATCGGACCGCGGCCAATGTTATATTGAAGAGTCTCAGGAAAAAATGATTCTATGTCGCTGATAAATCGCGAATTGTCGTCACATATAATGTATATCTATAAATCGTTGAATATATGAAAGAATATAATATAAAACGTATAATTGTGTAGGGGAATCTATTTCAAACTGCATTAATATTTTAGCTTAAATAATTTAACCTAAATAATTACAGGTTATGAAATAAATTTTACACTTTCACAAAAGATCAATTTATTACTAAAATTAAAAAGATACATTTATTTTATTCACGTACTTACCAATTTCTTTTCACAATAATAATATTTTTTAAAATAACTGTCTGTTATTATAATTTCTTCAGACCACAACTACATATCTGCGGAAAGACGGAACCAGAAAAGTAGAATGCGGAAAGACAGAAGCAGAAAAGCGGAAAGTACCGCCTACTACCAGCGCGAGTTCTGATTGGCTTCCGCTTTTCCGCTTTCCGCTTTTCCGCCAAGGTGTGAATCCGGCATAATGCAACCAATTGCTGATTAGAATTTCTGTTGTACACTGTAACAGAAATGCTAAATGAATTTACGATTGGTTTTCGTAACCTACGCATCTCGAAAAGTACGCCTCATGGGAAACCGGTACCTTTCCATCGCGTATATGAGCAAATGATCGAATAAATTATTAAAATCGGAACATTTTGTGAAACCACTCTTAGGCTTATTCGACGCGTTTTTGCATGAAACAAAAGAATCTGGCAAAAAAACGTCGTTCTGCCTTGTGATCTGAGACCTCTGCTACACGGCACGCTTAATCGGGTTTAATAACATCCGTAGTTTTGAAATTGGCGAATCATAGCTTTTCGTCGGGAGAGTGGAATGATTGTGATTGGCCAGTTTTCATAACTACGGATGTTATTAAACTTGATTAAGGGTGCCGTGTAAATGTAGTCTGAGATATTAAGCGTTAAAGTTGATTAAAGTTGATTATTAAGGTTAGGAAATCTGTCACAGAGGCAAAATGAGGTCTATAATTGTACTGTTCCACATGGGTTTCGACTTTTCACGCGATTCAAAAGGGCGCACGACTTTTATAATTGTACTGTTGCAAAATTGAAACACTTGTGCATTTTTTCAGACAGAATAAGCTAAAATGAGTCAGAAATTAGATTCGACGCATAGTGGTTCTATCATGTTTCGGCGTAACAACAAAATAGCGTAAAAAGCATAAAGTGACTAGACAGAAACTGATGTTCAAGTGAAATGATATGATTGATCGGCGCAAGTTACGCTTACGCAAGTTACGCCGCATGTGACGGCACCCTAATTTCATCGAAATTGGAGGAGAAGCAGTTCTTCTGAATAATCATTGATACCTTGCTTTCGTCAATTTTCCCGCGCCTTTTACTTTGATAACCCTCACAACCTCTCTAATTTTCGATGTCATAAAAGTTACCTCCAAAGGTACAATTTCATGCAGCGAAGCTTCGCTGGCGAAGATCTCCCACTCTGCCGACAACAAAGCCAGCGTTCAACGCTCTTCGCTGAAACCAGTGTTGCCAGTATGGGCGATTTATCGCAAATTGGGCTACTTC